CACAATCAGTTGAGACTACAAGATTTCTGACTTCAGGTACCACTCTAATGCCCAATGCCTTGCTGAGATCAAAAAGGCCAGACAGTAGCTCAAACTGGTAAGTGTTCAGGACTGTGATCTCCTGCAAAATCTTTGAGACCAAGCTTGTTGTCAAAAAGTCTAACGAGTGCCTGCTGTAGTCAGAAAACCAAAACCTGGCCTAGATGGAGCCAAACATATGGTACAGTATCCTAGCTCGTTGAGAGATCAAGATCCTCCTGTAATAAGTCAAAGGCTAGCTTGAGGTACACAGCCTGTGCTAGAACCCAGTTCAGTGAATAACTCAGACTTGTGCAATTCCATGATATCCCCATACTCTCAGACATAGAATGACTGAAGTATGCTGGCTACTACCCTACCCTGGTGAGGGAGCAAGCCCTTCCCTCATACACCATCTCTACACCCCAAAACCTAGTCTGGGTACCACAGCTTCCTTAAAAGCCAGTCTAGTGGGTGAGCTGGAATCCAACTCCTTTGAACTGATATCACATTCCTACATCCAGCTGATGTCAGTTAACTACTACCACTGACTGGTGAGATCTGAAGAACCTTGACTGTCTTGACTAGCTGGGGTCAATTACACTGCATAACCCAGTCTGGTTAGAGCTCAGCACCGCTATCCTGCTGCTATAAGTTTACTTCCAAGAGTTAGCTTGAGTCACCCAGCTTTTACTTGCTGTGGAATAATCCTTTTGTTTAATGTGAATATATGTTGCTCTGGTTGTTAATAAAGAACTGCCTGGCCTATACCTGGGAAGAAAGAGATTGGGTGGGAGAGGCACACTAGGAGGACACTGGGAAGAAAAAGGGCAAAATCTGAGGAGTCTTGAGCGAGACGCAGAGGAAGGAGATATGCACGTGGTACTGAGATAAAATACCAAGCCACATGGTGAATTACAGATAAAACTATGGGTTAATTTAAGTTGTAAGAGCTAGTTAGTAACAAGCCTAAGCTATCAGGTGAGCATTTATAATAAACATTAAGTCTCTTTGTGGTTATTTGGGAGCTGGCTGGCAGTCCTGACAAAAAACTCCATGTACCTGTACTCAAGGCAGCCATCTAAGTGAACCAGATTCTCACCTCTTGTGCTAGGCCCACCTGGAGTCAAGCAACTTTGGCACAAACCCAGACTGGTAAATGAACACGTTTCTGCTTGCACACACAAGAATCACAGTCCTAAGCCTAGCCTGGAACACAGAGTTTACCTGCCATCTTAGCCTTGTGAGTAAGCCCAAACCTTGCCCACCTATGCTATTACCATACCCCCAAACCCATCTAAGTTCAAGATATGTGGGTACCAGACCACATATCTTTTACTGTTGTCTAAGTTAGGGTTTTTATTGATGCAATGAAACACCATGACCAAAAGTCAAGTTGGGGAGGAAAGGGTTTATTGGGCTTACACTTCCTTATCACTGTTCATCACTGAAGGAAGTCAGGACAGAAACTCACACAGGACAGGAACCTAGAGGCAGGAGCTGATGCAGAGGCCATGGAGGGGTGCTGCTTACTGTCTTGCTACTTGTGGCTTGCTCAGCCTGCTTTCTCACAGAACCCAGGATCACCAGCCCAGGGATGGAAACACCCACAATGGACTGGGCCCTCCCTCTTCAATCACTAAAATTAAGAAAATGCCTTACAGGCCTGCCCACAACCTGATCTTATGTGGAGGCATTTTTTGAATTGAGGTTCCTTCCTCTCAGATGACTTTAACTTGTGTCAAGTTAACATAAAACTAGTCAGCACAACTCTCAAAACATTTTTAGAGTGACAGGCATAGCTGGTTCACAGAATTTGCACAGCAGTCCCACTTAGTGAGTTTCAAGAACCTTGCCTGTCCAAGTCACCTTCCAAGCCCCTTGAATACCTGAGTTCAATCAGAATGTGTCCCAGGTCCTTTGCCTGAGAGCTCAAATTCCCATGGGAGTTATACTAATACTTTCAGGCCTAGCTTTAGACATACAGCATGCACTCAAGCACATCTTAGTGAGGGGCTTGGATCCTTCAACTACTAGGACATGGCCACAGTCTCAGGACCTTCTGGGAGAGAGATCAAGACCCTGCCCTCCTGCCCCATCCTCACAGTTCCAGGCATAGTCCCACTTGAGCAGCTCCAGACCAGCCGAGGCTCCTTTGTAGGCCAGGCCCTCCTCTCAGAATGGGCATGAAGTCACAAGCACAGGCTGGATGTACACCACCCCAACCAAGTGAGTGACCCCCAAACCTAACCATTCCCATCATCACCACATTCCCAGGCCTAACTGGGGTCAACAAGTCTGCTAAGCCTATGAGTGAGGTAAAGTGGCCTGGTAACTAACCCTGCCATAGCCAGTAATCAAGACTGTCCTTTCCCTGACAACCCTCAAACTCCCAGGCATAGCTGTGGGCAAGCAGCTGTCCTGTCAGTAACACACGGATTGCCCATGACTCCACATGCCTTCACCTTTCCACAGTCCCATGGCAATATCGGATCACACAGCCTGAGTACCAAGCCTCCCTTTTCAGTGATCAAGTCCCTGCTCCAGAGACTTCCTAACACCCCCAGTTTGAGGCCTAGTTTGTGTGAAGAATATCTCTGGCTAGAACAGGGTGGTGAGTCTCCCAGAACCTTGCCCTATGGTACCATCTCTAATGCCAAATGCCCAGCTGTTGAATGTTCAGGACCCTGATCTTCCACACCATCCTCATACTTGCAGGTCTAGCTGTTATCACAAAGCCTGCTGAGTTCCCAATAATGAGTCTGCCATAGCCAGACTCATGCTCGAAGCCCTGCTTGTGTCACACTGCCTGTGAACCAGTCCAGTCTTGTGAGTGACCTAGACCCTGCCTCTCAAGTCAATTTAGTTTCCAAGGCCTCTCTAGGGTCAAGCAGCCCGCACACAAACCCTGACTTGTGAGAGTGACCCAGACCACTACCCTCCTATACCATCCCCACAGTCCCAGGCCTAGGTGGGGTCAAGCACCTTGGGCCAGCACAGTCTAGTGAATGATCAAGACCCCTACCCTCACACACCATCTTCACATTGCCTGAACTAACTTGGGTAACTCATTTTGTCACCAGCTTAGCCTGGTGCCTCAGGACCCTGTCATGCCACACTGTCACCACATACTCCCAGGCCTAGCTTGAGGTCACAAAGCCTGCATAGAGAATGGGGCATGAACATCAGACATACATAATTATATGACTTACACATATTACTTCTATAAAAGAGTCCGTTTTGTGCAATGAATATCTTCTAAACATCTGGAAAATAAAACACAAGAGGAAGTGCTATAACATACACTGGAAACTAGCCTGTAGTCAGGTGGGAGGCTCTTCATTTTGGTGTACTCTGCTGCACTGTACTATGTGCTCAAACTATGGCTCTCCAGGTTACAGGAACCAAATACTAGTGAAGAAAATGCCTGTAATAGCCAAGAAACTATTAACACTAGGCTTCCACTATGTTGGAATATTCAGGGCCTGCTGGGGTAGGATTGCTGGGTTCCAATGGGAGCATATTGTCCTGACTGTTTTGATTGTTTGTACACTGGTGTCTAGGCATCTGGGATTGGGGTGATTATAGTTCTAGGTGCTGATAAATGGTTTTGTCTTAGTTGGGTGGGTGTATTTTTCCTTAGGTTTTTTTTTCCTCTCTGGATTTTAGGAGAGAGAGTGTAGTGATTATGTGTGGCCTGGTAGGAAATTTCCTTGGGACCTGTTTCCCTGTCCTGCTCAGCTGGTGTATTTCGACGGTATGCCTGATGGTGTTGGAGGCTGGGTTCTTGGGATGAGTTGGGAGAACGGAAGGTTGAAGGAGAGCATCTTTGTGATCTGTTGGAGATGGGGTCAGAGAGGAAAGGGAGGCCAGGTAGGTTTCCTGCTACAGAGCTGGGGATGAGAATGGGGGCAGGGGTGGATCTGGAGAAGCAGAAGGATGGGTGGGGATCAGCAGTAGGCCTATCTGCCACCATGGCAGGAGAGGCTCGGGGCTAGGATTTTCTACCCAGAACAACAAAAGTAGTTGTACATACAGTTATACTTTTTGCAGTATTAGATTTGAAACACAAGCTCTTTCAGTCATGCCAGGGAAGTGTTCTCTACCATTAAGCTGTTTCTAAGAGATGAGTGATGTCTTTGAAATCAACTGGACATAAGTTTCTGTATTATGTGTGTTTCTTTAACATGAGCGAAAGGGTTCTATATTTAGGGATTTGTGGGAGTTGGGAGTGTGGGTAAATGGTAGAGAGTTTGCTGTGTATGTGCTAGTTACTGGATTCCAACCCAGCACCAAGAACAGAAGAAAGACAGAGACAGAGACAGAGACAGAGACAAAGACAAAGACAAAGACACAAAGTGACAGAGGTAGTATTAGAGTTGTTTTAATGATCTCTCAATTTTGAAAACTGGGCTCCATGCAGTGTCTACATTTTGGGTTGTGATCACAACTAGGCAAGACATTACATAGAGACTCTGAAGAAGATTCTTAAAAGCAGAAATGTTGGGCCAGTGAGAAAGCTGTGTGGATAAAATTCTGTGGCCAAGCCTGATGACCTGAGTTTAATCCCTGGGACCCACATGGTAGAAGGAGAGAAGTGACACATACAAATTGCCCTCTGACCTCCACATACGTGCAGTGGCACAAGTGTGTGTGCAGATGTGTATGCAACTCTCTAAAATAAAAATGAAATACTTTAATTTTCATTAAAGTTAGATTTCTCAAGGTCATGAGGCCAGCAGGACTCAGCAACAAGTATGCTTTCTAGTCAAGCTTTCCACCCTCGATGTCAGATCTAGGGGCCAAGCTTCGACTGACGTGGTTCAATGTGTCCTAAAAGGCACCATTTTTGCCACGCCTCACTCTTTTCCTGCCAAGGCAAGCCCCACCCACAGCTGTTAGCTGACAGCCAATGGGCGTCGTAGAGACGAAGCGCTCTGTCGTGGAACTTTCTAGAACGCCTCACTGCCTAGAGAATTCGAAACGGCTGCCTGCCACATTCTGAGGCGTGAAGCCTGTGGAGATTCCACGCTTTTGCACCTTCTGTAGAGATTGCACCATGGCATGTACGAAATACTATTTCAGTCGTGACTATTACGGTATAGGCTTCTATGAAGAAGAAGTAACGACTGAACCGCAGCAAGGGGGAGCTGCAAAATCAAATGCTAGCCGTTCTGAAGAAGTTGCGGGAATCCTGGAGGAGCTGGGCCACTTCAATGCTGTGACTGACCACAACTACATCCGTGAAGTGAAAAACAGCATCCGTGGGAAGTCCCGTGAACCTGCACGTGGAAGGCGTGAGCCGGTTTTTCGGAAGCCAACCACGTGTTGCCGAAAGCAAAACAAGCTCACTCCTGAACAAACAGTTGAACTAGACAGAGTTTTCGAAGAAACTCATTACCCCGATGCACTCCAAAGGTATGCATGTGGCTTCCATAACAGCCACTCTATCTTCGAGGGCTTTAGGCCCTGTTCCTCTTTCCTGGCCTTTCCATTGTTTTAACTGTATCCCAAAGACCAAACCTAAAGTCACAGACAAGCTCTGTACCACTGAGCTACTAACTTTTAAAACCCCTATTCCCGTGGGACAGAACTTACGCTGCCTACGTTGGCCTTAACCATACTCTAGTCCAGGCAGGTTTTAAACTGTTGGTCCTCCTGCCCCAGCCGGTGCAGCAACTGAGTTTTCAGTTGTGCCCCACTGGTATTGCTTTCTTTCCTACTGATCCCAACAGGGCAGGACCTTCATTTCCTGTTGAGGTGGGAGTGGACGGGCAGGATATCTTGTGGGGACCAAAATCAAAGTTTTCTTGTGGTTTTCTGTAAACCAAGCTTAGAAAACAATCCCCGATCACTTACTTTGTTTGCTTTAACTGTAGAATTGTCCTAAAATACAAAAACATAACACTTTTGATCTAAACAATGTTTGTAATTCAGAATTCGGCATCATGAAGTATTTTCAAGGTGTTTTGGGAAAGCAGAAACCTCCTTGGGTTGCCAAACTGAAATTCTGTGCCCCCTTTAAATAACTACCACTTCCTCCCCTGATCTTCAACTACCTATTCTAAACTTTCATCCTCTGTATCTGAGTTATGTGAGCACGTCACATAAGGGAAGACTTAAAGAGATGTTTGACCCATAATAACCTGTCCTCTTTTGACTATTATGTTTCACTTAGCCTAATTTCCTCAAGGTTCATTATTGTGTTCGTGCATGTGGCAGACTTTCTGAGTCCCCAAGGCTAAATAATGTTCCCAAGGCACATATTCCTAGATGTGAGTGTTTTATTGCTGTCTGTGGAAGGAGATCTGGATGGGTTGATATGCATAATTAGAATAAATGAATTATTTGTTTTGTGTAGATGTATATATGTGGGCTTTGTGAATGGAGGTCAGAGAACAAATTGAGAGAGCCAGAGTCGCTCCCACAATATGCATTGTGGGGATCAAACTCAGGTAGTTAGACTTGGCAGCAACTGAGCCATCTTCCTAGCCCGAAAAATCTCCCTTTAACATTGGGTTTCCAATCTTTTGGAGTATATACCTAGAATCAGAATTGTTGGGTTCAATAATTCTATGGCCATAGTTTAAAAGAACCACCTGTCCTCCTTCATAGGTGTAAAATTTGATGTTACATTTCAGAGAGTAAGGGGTCTCCAGTGTTTCCGGGGCCTCACTAAGGCTTGTTATTTTCTGATGTTGTTTAATAGCCACCCCTCTGGATGGGAGGCAAGAGCACTGGACTTTTTTGCACTTTTTTTTACTTGTGAGTGACTTTGAGCAACTTTTCTTGTGCTTAAGGCTATTGTAACCTATGTTCCTGGGTTAAATGTCTCCTTAAGTCTTTAGTTATTGGGGAGCAGGGCATAGATATCACTTGGTGCATAGATGAAGTTCAGAGGACAATTTATGCAAGTCAGTATTTTCTATCTACCTTGTGAGTCCTGAGGATAGACCTCAGGTAGATACGTTTTGTACAAGTGCCTTTTCCCACTGAACCACGTTGCCAGTCCAATCTCATTAAGTCTTTTTCCTGTTTTAAAATATGTGTTTTGACAGTTATTTGCTCATTTGTAAATATTTTGTCTGATTGAGTTACCATTTTATTTTGATTATTTTATACACAGAAGTTTCTAAGTTTGCTAATAATTTCCAATTTTATGTATTTTATATGTATTGCCTGTATCAAGACCCTGCATTTGTATGTAATATTTCATCAAAATCGTATTTGCAAGAATGAAATACTTTCATGCATCTGCAGTGATACAGCATTGTAAATGGAAGCTTTTCAGTCCCACCCAGGCCCATAACCACTTTTAAAAATAATCATTCAGAAATTTAATATTAATTATAAACTCTTTGGCCTATTGCTCAGGCTTATTATTAACTAGTTCTTACAACTTCATTTAACCCATTTCTATTAATCTATACATTGCCATGTGGTCTGTTGCTTTCCCATTCTCTGACATCTTGTCCCTTGGGCAGCTGAATCAAGTCTACCCAGACTCCACCCTTCTTCTCCTGTATCTCTGCTTGGCTTTCCTAACTGGTTCTATTCTGCCTTGCCATAGACCAAATCAGCTATTTTATTAACCAGAGAATAAAATGTAGTCACAGCATACAAAATGGTTATCCCATAGCACAGCATACCTGTAGAAAATTCATATCACTAGTGGTTCAGCTCTCTAATCTTTCAGATGCATGGAAGCTGAAGCAGGAGGGTGCAAGTTCCAGGTCAGTTTGGCTGGAGAAAAAGTCTAAGTTTTGTCTATGGAACTTAATGAGTCACAGTCTCAAAATAGAATATACAAAGGGATGGGGATACAGACCCTACCTAACATAACCAAGACCTTATGTTCAATCCTCAGTACCATCAAAAATGTGTAGGTTACATATTACAGATTTAGATTTATACATTGTTGCTGCTAATGAGAGCATTGCCCATTTTTTCAGATTGTAGAGATTAATTATTCTTAATTTTCTATACTCTTTCAAAGAATTACAAAAAATGTTTACTTGGGGAGATGGATATAGCAAACTTTAAAGCATGCACAGAACCTGCCGGGCAGTGGTAGTACATTACTTTAATCCCAGCACTCAAGAAGTAGAGCCAGGTGGATCTCTGTGAGTTCAAGGCCAGCTTGGTCTACAGAGTGAGTTCCAGGACAGCTAGGGCTATTACACAGAGAAACCCTGTCTCAAGAACAAACAAAAACATGCACAGAACCAACTGGAGAGATGACTCAGGAGTTAAGAGCACTGGCTGCTCTTCCAAAGGACCTAAGTTCAATTTCTAGCAACCACACTGGGGCTCTTAACCATCTTTTACTCCAGTTCCAGGGAATCTGATGCCCTCTTCTGGCCTCCATGGGCACCAGGCTTACAAGTAGTGCAGAGACATGCATGCACACACACATAAGATAAAAAAATTTTTAAGTTTTAAGCATGATACAGAACATACAAAATATGCTTAATTTTACCTCTAATGTCAAATACTAAAGCTTAATGCTTTTCTTTCCACAGGAAAGAGCTTGCAGAGCTTCTCAATGTGGAAGAATGCACTGTGAAGGTCAGTCCATCTATCAAGACATAGAGCTAGACACTCCACTTCAAACCTGCTTCAAGACATAAACAATCTCATTCTAAACATTATGAAGTTGCTGATTTTCTTACCTGTTTTAAAGTAGCAAATGAGATTTGAACTAAGGGGTATTTGGGGGTACAAATTGGGAAAGGTATATGAGGGGGAACTCCATCTAGTGTTTCTCTCCCATTACTGAAAAAAACGTAATATTCTAATTGAAAAAGGAAAGCAAAACAATTTTATGCAAAAGTAATTGTGTTTACTTTATATATAGCTAGTGAGGATATATATATGCACATATATTAGTTATGTTTTATGTTAATGGGCATGTAACAGAATTAATAATCAATATGACAATGGTGTTTTAAGAGGGTACTACATAGATCTGGAAAGCTGGGATTGTCCATGTACCTTGGAGCCCAGAATAGTGTGTGACCCAGATGTTGAACATTTAGCTACAGGATTTGTATTTTGTTTTACTTACATATGATTGTTTGTTTGCTGTGCCCCAATTCTTCCTTTTAGAATGAGAATGTTTAAGTAGGTAACTTGTTGTTTTTTTAAATTTCACAGGAGCTCACAGTTATGATGCTTGGACTTTAAAGCATTGGAATTTTTAAAACTGTGAACTTTTAAAGTTGTACTGTATTTTGCATTATTATATTAACATGAGACTTTGGGGACAAGGGATGGAATATTATGGCTAAAGTAATGTGTTTGTGTGTCAAGTTGACAAAGAGTGGATTGTGACCATTGTCTGGAAAGAGAGTCTTTGTGAGGAATTACATAGATTGAGTTAGCCTGTGGGATGTCTGTGGGGATTGTCTTGATTGTTAATTACTCTAAAAAGACCCACCCCACTGGGGGCAACACCATTCCCTGGTTTGTGGCACTAGATTGCAAAAGAGTAAAGAAAGCATTTTTTTTCTCTTTTTTTTTATTTTAATTTTAAATAGCTTGTTTTACATGTCAATCCCAGTTCCCTCTCCCTCCCCTCCTCCCGCACTCCCCTTCCACCCTCCCTCCCACCCTATTGCCAAATCCTTCCACATAGGGGATGTCTAGAGTCTATCATTTTACTCTTGGTAGGGTCAAGGCACTCCCCTAAGAGTCCAGGCTGAGAGAGCATCTCTCTTTGTGCTATAGGCACATGAAGACAGATTGTATACCAGGGATAGACACTGATCCACAGCTCAGAGCCCCATAGGTTGTCCAGGCCTTTGCTTTTTCTTCCATTTCTTGCATTTTTTGGTTTTTTTTTTCTTCCATTTCTTGCATTTTTGGTTTGGTTTTTCGTCCATTTCTTGCATTTTTTGGTTTGTTTTTCCATCCATTTCTTTGGGGAATTTTCCTATATCCTCTTATAGGGCCTCTGTCATTTTCATGAAGGTGTTTTTAAGCTCATTCTCTTCTGCTTCATTTGCATTGGAATGTTGAAATTTTGCTGGTGTGGAGTCTCTAGAATCTGGCAGTGTCATATTTGTTTTTCTGTTGCTGAGTGTGTTTTTGTATTGTCTCTTTCCCATCTCTTCCTCTAGTGGGTGCAGAAAGAGCCCCTCACTGGTCTGGTGGTTAGGGGACCAGAGTTCCCTTTCGGTGGGTGCTAGCAAGTCCAATAATCTGGAAGTTCTTCTATTCCTCGTCCTTGTTCTGGTCTCGTGGGTGGAGAAGAAGACCAGGAATCTGCTTAGCCTCCCACCTGGTCCTCTGGTCCCTTTGCTGGAAGAGAAGACTTGGGATCTAGGGTGCTCCTGCCGGGATGGGAAGCTCTGTGACCCTTCCCAGTGACCAGAAGGCATGCCTAGGATGCTGGGCCTTGCTTACCTGGATCTGCTGGTTTCCTGGTCTTGTTGGTGGAAGAGAAGACCTGGAATCTGAGGTGCTTGGCTCCTGCCAGGATTGGAAGCTCTGTGCACTTCTCAGGCAATCCCCAGGCACTAGAACACAGGCCAGGATACAGGGCCTGTTTTACCTGGTTCCACCGGAACAGCTGGTCCCCTGGTCTCCTTTTTGCAAGAGAAGACCTGGGATCTGGAGTTTTGGGCCCCTGCTGGGATGAGAAGCTCTGTGGAAGAAAAAACAAACCAAAAATTCATAAAGTGCAACAAATGGACAAAAAGATAAACCGAAAATTGCAAGAAACAATTCAAACAGTGCAAGGGTTGAAAACTGAAATGGAGACAATAAAAAAACCCAATCTAAAGAAACGCTGGAAATAGAAAAGCTGGACAAATGGTCAGGTACTACCAATACAAGCATTACCAACAGAATACAAGAGATGGAAAAGACAATCTCAGGTGTTGAAGATACACTAGGAGAAATGGATTCATCAACCAAAGAAAATCTTAAGTCCAACAAATCCTTAACACAAAACATCCAGGAAATATGGGACACCATGAAAAGACCAAACCTAAGAATAATAGGTATAGAAGAAGGTGAAGAAAACCACCTCAAAGGGGCAGAAAACATATTCAACAAAACCATAGAAGAAAACTTTCCCAACCTGAAGACAGACATGCCAATGAAGGTACAAGAAGCTTACAGAACACCAAATAGAGTGGACCACAAAAGGAAGTCCTCTTACCAAAGAATAGTAAAAACACAAAAAAGGACTACTCGCCACATAATAATCAAGACCCCAAATATATAGAATAAAGAAAGAATATTAAGAGCAGCTAAGGAAAAAGGCCAAGTAACATATAAAGGCAAACCTATGAGAATTACACCTGAATTCTCTATGGAAATTCTAAAAGCCAGAAGGTCCTGGATATATATTCTACCAAAACTAAGAGACCATGGATGCCAGCCCAGACTACTATATCCGACAAAGCTCTCAATCACTATAGATGGAGAAAACAAGATCTTCCATGACAAAACGAGATTCAAGCAATACGTATCCACTAACACAGCCCTACAGAAAGTTTTGGAAGGAAAACTCCAACACAAGGAAGTTAACTACAACCAGAAAAAACATAGGCATTAGAGAATCTCTCTCTACCAACAGCCAAAAGAACAAAGGGGTGAAATTCCACACATAATTCTACCACCAAAAACTATTGTAAATCAAATAAGAATGAGAAATCAATGGTCATTAATATCCCTCAACGTTAATGGCCTTAATCAACCATAAAAAGACACAGGCTAGCAGAATGGATTCGAAGACAGAACCCTTCCTTCTGCTGCATACAAGAAACACACCTCACCCTCAAAGACAGACATTACTTGAGAGTTAAAGGTTGGGAAATAATTTCCAATCAAATGGACCCAAGAAACAAGCAGGGGGTAGCAATCCTAATATCTAACAAATTAGACTTTAAAATAAAATCAATCAAAAGAGATGAAGGAGGTCATTACATACTCATCACAGGCAAAGTCCACCAAGATGAAGTGTGTATCCTGAACATCTATGCCCCAAATACTAAGGCATCCACATTCGTAAAAGAAACATTACTAAAACTTAAACTACATCTAGTGGGAGATTTCAACACACCACTCTCACCACTATACAGGAATACCAAACAGAAACTCAACAAAGAAGCAAAGGGTCTAACAGAAGTAATGACCCAACTGGGATTAACAGACATCTATAGAACATTTCATCCACATAAAAAAGAATATACCTTCTTCTCACCACCACATGGAACCTTCTCAAAAATCAGCCACATACTTGGCAACATATCCAACCTCACCAGCTACAAAAAAATTGGAATAACTCCATGCATCTTATCAGACCACCATGCTTTAAAATTAGAATTCAACAACAACACAAATTGCAGAAAACCTACAAACTCATGGAATTTGAATAACGCACAACTGCACCATTCCTGTGTCAAAGAAGAAATAAAAAAGAAATTAAAGTCTTCCTAGAATTCACTGAGAATGAAGACGCAACATACCCAAACCTATGGGACACTTTGAAAGCAGTGCTACGGGAGAAGTACATAGCACTAAGTGCCCACATGAAGATACTGGAAAATAGTTATACTAGAGAATTAACAGCACAGCTGAAACCTCTAGAACACAAAGAAGCAAACTCCCCCAGGAGGAGTAGACACCAGGAAATAATCAAATTGAGGGCTGAAATCAATAAAGTAGAAACTAGGAAAACAATACAAAGCATCAATGCAAGGAAGAGTTGGTTCTTTGAGAAAAATCAACAAGATAGACAAACCTTTGTCCAAACTTACCAAACAGCAGAGTGTAAACATGCAAATTATCAAAATCAGAAATGAAAAGGGGGACATAACAACGGACTCTGAGGAAATTCAGAGAATCATCAGGCCATACTGTGAAAACCTGGACTCCACAAAATTTGAAAATTAAATCAAAAACAGATAAGCAATTTAAATAGACCTATAACCCCTATGGAAATAGAAGCAGTCATCAAAATCTCCCAACCAAAAAAAGTCCAGGTCCAGATGGCCTCAGTGCAGCATTCTACCAGAAATTCAAAGAACAGTTTATACCAATTCTTCTCAAAGTATTCCATGCAACAGAATCAGAAGGGTCTTTGCCAATCTCTTTCTACAAGGCTTCAGTAACCTTGATCCCCAAGCCACACAAAGACACAACTAAGAAAGAGAACTTCAGACCAATTTCCCTCATGAACATTGATGCAAAAATACTCAATAAAATACTGGCAAATCGGATCCAAGAACACATCAAAACAATCATTCACCAAAATCAAGTAGGTTTCATCCCAGGGATGCAGTGATGGTTCAACATACGAAAATCCATCAATGTAATCCACCATATAAACAAGCTGAAAAACAAAAATCACATGATCATATCACTAGATGCTGAAAAAGCCTTTGACAAAATCTAACACCCCTTCATGATAAAGGTCTTGGAGAGATCCGGGATAACAGAAACATACCTAAACATAATAAAAGCTATATACAGCAAACCAACAGCCAACATCAAACTAAATGGACAGGAACTCAACGCAATTCCTCTAAAATCAGGAACAAGACAAGGCTGTCCACTCTTTCCATACCTTTTCAATATTGTACTTGAAGTTCCAGCCAGGGCCATACGACAACAAAAGGAGATCAAGGGGATACAAATTGGAAAGGAAGAAGTCAAACTTTCACTGTTTGCAGACGATATGATAGTTTACACAAATGACCAAAAGAACTTTACCAGGGAAGTCTTACAGCTGATTAACACCTTCAGCAAAGTGCCAGGCTACAAGATAAACTCAAGAAAATCAGTAGCCCTACTATATACAGATGATAAAAGGGCTGAAAGAGAAATCAGAGAAACATCACCCTTTACAATTGCCACAAACAACATAAAATACCTTGGGGTAACGCTAACCAAACAAGTGAAAGACCTGTATCGCAAGAACTTTGAATTTTTAAAGATAGAAATTAAAGAAGCCCTCAGAAAATAGAAAGATCTCCCATGCTCTTGGATAGGTAGGATCAATGTAGTAAAAATGGCAATCCTGCCAAAAGCAATCTACAGATTTGAGGCAATCCCCATTAAAATCCCAGCACAATTCTTCACAGACCTTGAAAGAACAATAATCAATTTTGTATGGAAAAACAAAAGACCCAGGATAGCCAAAACAACCCCTGTTCAACAAGGCAACGTCAGGAGGCATCACCATCCCTGACCTCAAGCTCTATTATGGAGCTATAGTCCTGAAAACAGCTTGGTATTGGCACAAAAATAGACAGGTAGACCAATGGAATCGAATTGAACACCCTGATAGTAACCCACACATATATGAACATCTGATCTTTAACAAAGAAGCTAAAAATATACAATGGAATAAAGAAAGCATCTTCAACAAATGGTGCTGGCATAACTGGAGGCTGGCATGTAGAAGAATGCGGATTGATCCATGTTTATCGCCATGCACAAAATTTAGTCCAAATGGATCTAAGACATCAACATAAATCCAGCCACACTGAACCTCTTAGAATAGAAAGTGGGTGGTAACCTTGAATGAACTGGTACAGGAGACAGCTTCCTGAACATAACACCAGTAGCACAGACAGTGAGATCAGCAATTAATAAATGGGACGTCCTGAAACTGAAAAGCTTCTGTAAGGCAAAGGACACAGTCAGCAAGACAAAAAGGCAGCCCACAGAATGGGAAAAAAATTTACCAACCCCACATCTGACAGAGGGCTGATCTCCAAAATTTACAAAGAACTCAAGAAGCAAGTCTCCAAAACACCAAAGGATCCAATTAAAAAGTGGGCTGCAGAACTAAATAGAGAATTTTCAATAGAGGAGTCTAAAATGGCTGAGAGGCACTTGAGAAAGTGCTCAACATCCTTAGCCATCTGGGAAATGCACATCAAAACAACTCTGAGATACCATCTCACTCCTGTCAGAATGGCTAAAATCAAAAACACCAAGGACAATTTATGCTGGAGAGGATGTGGTGAAAGGGGAATACTCCTCCATTGCTGGTGGGAGTGCCAACTGGTTCAGCCACTTTGGAAATCAGTATGGAGATTCCTCAGAAAAATCGGAATAAACCTACCACAAGACCCAGCAACTCCACTCTTAGGCATATATCCAAAAGATGCCCATTCATACAACAAGGATGTCTGTTCCACTATGTTCATAGCAGCATTATTTGTAATAGCCAGAACTTGGAAGCAACCTAGATGCCCCTCAACTGAATAGTGGATAGAGAAAATGTGGTACATTTACACAATGGAGTTCTATTCAGCAGAAAAAGGAACGGAATCCTGAGATTTGCAGGCAAATGGATGACACTAGAAGAAACCATCCTGAGTGAGGTAACACAGTCACAAAAAAAGAAACATGGCATGCACTCTCTCATTTATGGATTTTAGACATAGATCTGGGGAGTGCCAGCCTACAATCCCATGGCCAGAGAGTTTGGGAAACAGAAACTTCATTCAGTGGCTGATGGAAGAAGAGGCCGACTCCCACGGCTAAGCACTGAGCTGAGCTCAACAAATCCAGTGACAGAGAGAGAGGACTGATGACCAAAGGGATTGAGACTGGGCTGGTTTAACCCCCAGAAACAGCTGACCTGACAAGGGTTAGCTCTTGAATCCCAGGCTGATGTCTGGGAATCCTGCATGGGACTGATCAAGACCCCCCTGAATGTGGGTGTCAGTGAGGAGGCCTAGGTAATCTATTGAGCCTTGGGCAGTAGATCAGTATTTATCCCGGGTATACACATGGACTTTGGACTCCCATCCAACAATGAGAGGTGCACTCTCACCCTGAACTCTTGGGGGAGGGTCTAGGCCCTGCCCTGGATGAAATGACAGACTATGGACACCCCCATGGAGGGCCTCACCCTCCCTGGGGAAATGAGGGGATATTGGGGGGTTGGTGGGAGGGCACGGGAGGAGGGGAGGGAATCGGAGAGGGACCTGGAATTGACATGTGAAGCAACTTTGTTTCTAACTTAAATTTAAATTTAAAAATAAAAAAATAAAAATAAATAAATAAATAAAAGAGTAAAGAAAGCTAGATGACCTGTAGCAAGCGAGATAGGGTCTATGTATTTTATTGTCTCTGTGATCTTAATTGTGGACATGAAGCTTTAAGTTTCTCTTTCACTCCCCCCCCCCCCAATGACCGGATGCAACCTGGAACTGTGAGTCAAATAAACCCTTCCATAGGTTGCTTTTTGTCAGGGTATTTTATCCCAGCCACAGAAATGAAACCGTTGATTTGTTTTTGCTGTTACACTATGGTGGTAATAAGATGGAAACATGCCACACAATATAGGCACGCTGTTGACCTTGAGTAGTGCTTGCATTTTTGCAAAGGATATAAGTAATTATTAACTAGATTCTTCTGTCAAGGAGAGAATCTCAGTAACATGTGTAGTTGCATGATGTGTTTTCCATCATAAATACCAACTACTTACTATGCTAAACCAATGTTTTTATTGCTCTGGTTTCAGGTTTGGTTTAACAATCGGAGAGCCAAACTTAGGAAACATCAGAAGGCATTACTTAGAAAAAGCATCATTCCCAGTAAACAGAACCACTTTTCAAACCTGAAGATTCTGACAGAAACCAAGAATGTCGTTGTCCTTCAGGAGCCTCTTTGGGATGAGGTTTTCTGCTATAGGCCACATGCTGGCCACCCAAATTGGCAGTGACATTGTCTCTTTATATAAATAGCAATAAATGCAGAATTCAATAAGCAATTGCTTTGTGCATCCTCTTTTCTTCATTACAGAAAATAGCAAAAACTCATTCAATGGAATGCAGAAAGCAGACTAGAATGTGAGCTCCAACCTGATATCAACATAGTGACCATACTCTCCCAAGCTGAACAAAGAGGGATTGTTTTGGTCACTGTTCTATTGCCATGAAGAGACGCTATTACCAAAGCAGCTCTTATTAAAGGAAACATTTTACTGGGATCTTGCTTACAGTTTCAGAGGTATAGTCCATTATCAACATAGTGGGGAGCATGGAGGCATGCAGACATGGAGCAGTAGCTGAGAACTACATCCCGATGGCCCTGGCATGGGTCCTTACCCCATGACATGCTCCCTCCAACAAGGCCATATCTCCCACTCCTTCTAATTCTTCTCAAATAATACCACTCCCTGATATCTAAGCATTAAAATATATGAGCCTATGGGGTCCATTCACATTCAAACCACCACAGGGATGGTGTTCCCACAACCTTGGAGTCAGTATGTTCTCCCTCTTCACAGAGAGGGTGGATGAATACCCTGACCTGCCTTAAGTGGCTGCGCCAGGAAGCTGATCACAGCTGGGTGGCAGTAGACTCTCAGTAACAACACTGCACTGGACGCTAGATCCAAAGGAAGCACAGGGAAAGCGAGGCCCCTGCAATGCCCTTCTTCCTCTAACCACAAGGGGGCACTCCAAACAAGTGCAAGCTTCATGTAAGATGGGGAGAAAAGTGTATGTGAGCCCCACCTGATAGCAGAGATTGTTAGGGTCAGGCATAGCCAAGGGTCTAAACATTGCTCCCCAATGACCACATTTGCTGCTGCTGTCAGTACAGTCCAGGGGATCTTTTCAGAATGAGACAGTGTTTGAGACCCATCAAGGGTCTTGTAGGGAAGACATAAGAAGCAGGGGAGAAGCAGAGGATGATCCCCCCAAATCAAGAGATTTATTAACAATGTTTCCACCAAAAGAGTGGCCAAAATATCTAGGCTGTGACCAATTGAGACTTTGTAGGAAGGAGAGCAAGTATGTGTGATCAGTAGGGGTAGGAAGCTAAAGCCTACATGTCCAAAAGATGAGCCAACCTGGAGTCTACCTGGCTCTGTCAGAGGCCCTGATCATGGCCAGCCAATGAGGGGCAACCATGCAATGTCAATGAATCAGAACACCCGGGTGCTGGGAGGGTGTGTAAGGTTCTCCATATTGCTAAATAAACAAGTCTGCTGTTTGTTTTTCGCCTGACTCCTGGTGTCTGTGCTGTTGATGCTGCACCTTCTCACCCCTGCCCTCGAGCATGTCAATGACACACACGAGGGCCCCCCATCTGTGGCATGACTGTCCCCAGGCAAAACCTAGGACCAGATGCAATAAGGGATTTCATTGAGTAAAGGATTGCAGATCACGGCCTGCCAAAGCCCCTGCACCTTTAAACTCCAGGTGAGGCACTGCTCAGCCATACCAGTAAAAAAAGGCTCTGGTAATCCAAAAATCTATTGGATGCTGTCCATTTTTCCATACTCCACAATGCTGACATATGTCTTCATGGACAAGTCATTCAAGGCTTGTTGGACACGGATAATGACATCACCATATTAACAGAAGAGGTGCTCCACTTCCCCCATTGGAAATTTAGACTTGGGCCTCCCATCAGTGGAGTAAGAGGCCAACAAGATTCAAAACTTACATTTGTCCCGGGCATGTGCCCCTAGTGCCCCACTTGTCCCCTTAGGACCATTTCAACCTGCAGTAGGTAATCCCTGAGGCTTGTTGCCTAACGCCATCTGGCAGATGGATGTCATGCAGTGTGCCCCCTTTGGCACATTTAAATATGTTCATGTGATAATAGATACCTGTTCCTCCTTTGTTTATGCTCTTGCCCTTTCTGGATAGAAAGCTGTCAATACTACCAAGGCCCTTAAGTCGGCCATGGTAGTTATGGTGGTACCTTGGGTACTTTAGACTGACAATGGCCCTGCCTCTCAACAATTCAATGACTTTCTGGGTTCCTGGAAGATTTTCCATACCATTGGCATTTCCCACAATCCACGGGGAGAAGCCATTGTGGAGTAGACCAACAGAGCTCTTAAGGAGCTGTTGGCCAGGACTGTCTCACCAGAGGCCAAGAGTGAGCCTCATTCGACTTTAACAGAAGCCCTTTTCCATAAGATCATTATCAGTTTTGATGACAAGGGGCTCAGCCTAGCCTATAAGCACTGGGTGTCTCTGCCCTGGAATACACCCCTGCCTGAGATGGAGAGATCCTATCTCCATCCAGTGGCAGCTGCCAGTCTCCTGCTAACTTGTGGGCAAGAGTATGCTTGTGTTTTTCCTCAGACTGCCATGACACCAATATGGGCCCCCACAAGAGATGTACACCCAGCCTTGGATCAGCTTGCTTCCACCAAGGAGAGAATAAATCCAGGATGGGTAATGTATATACTCCCCTTTCTTGCTCTCATTACCCCCTTCAAACAAACTGATTTATTAAAGGCAGGGGTTATGGCCTTTGACTGTTCATTTTTTTGAAAAAGTTTGGTATAATATAAAAAGGCTTTCTGATCCCTCCTGGATGCTCACATGTGCCTTAATTTGTGGGTGGTATTGTTAATTCTCTTTATTCTCTTTAAATGTCTCCTGCAGCATATTAAACAGCAGAGGGCAGCAACTGAGACAACTCTTCAGGTGTTACTGACTCTTAGGCATTCCTCTTGCAGTTCTCTGCATGAGGTTACGCATGCCTGGCTATCTGAAATTCAAAAAGCTACCGCCTAGTCCCCCCCACCCAGGCAGCTTTCCAGGAATGGATGCTCTTCGAGAGCTGATAGTCAATGATGGGTAAGAGTTTGTTCAGCAGGACAACCTAAGACAGGCACAGTCTACTTGCTGAGCCCTCCTGAGTCGGGGTTAACAAGGCCTGAGCAAAGAACGCTGCCTCCTGCTGAGTAACCATGTAATAAATAAAAAGGATGGATATGCAGGAAGTTAAGGCCTACCTGGCTGAGAGATGAGCCAACCTGGAGTATGCCTGGTGCTGTCAGAGATCCTGATTCTGCCTAGCCAGTGAGGAGCGACCATGCAATCAGAAGGTCTGGGTGCTGGGAGGGTGTGTAAGGTTCTCCCCATTTATAAATAACTGAGTCTGCTGTCTGCTTTTCACCTGACTCCCCATGTCTGTGCCTTCTCATCCCCCTCCCCGGAGGGAGCCATTAGGACCCAGCTACAGGTGGGGGTGGTAGTAGTGGTGCTGAGACTAAGGCCAGAAAGAAACATTTATTCACTCAGGACTGAGGGAGGAGGGGAGGGCCAGGGTTACAGGAGCAGGACAAAGCTGTTCAGTCCCCCAAGGAAGCTGCTCTAACACTGAGTTCTCAAACTGCAACACTGAAGACTCTTGAAAATGGCCTCCTCTTCCTCCTTGTACAGGATTTTCAGTGTGCCCCTGGGTTTCTTCACCTGAATTGTGGGGCTGTTCTAGTGCTTATCAGAGTACTTGTTTTCATGCACTTTGGTTGGCTTCAGAGTGTTGGCCACTTGCCAGGTTCTTGCTTACTCTGGAGTACTATCCTGGGTCTGACTAGAGCCGGATGGCCAGGCCTACCTCAGTCTCACCAGGTCTGCCCTTCCTGCTTGGACACCAAGAGTTGTGTACAATTCCAGCCTGACTGTCCTTTGCTAAGCACTGAATAAGAGAGTTAAGGTGTGCCCTCTTGGCTTCTGTCCAGGGGAGTGTGGTAGGGGATGCTGGGAGCAATGTAACCCACCACAGCTGATCAACATCGGTTACTAGTGCTTAGAGCCTCATTAGGACATAAAACATTCCCTCCTGGCTTGGAGGAGTCCCAGTTGGAGGATTTTTTATGCACCTTTGTCCAGACATGCCCTGCCAGGCTACCTTTTAGTTCTTTGTATCTTTTACCAGATCAATAATGCCTAAGGTACACTTGAAGACAACTGTACATTTAAACACTCCACTGCTCTCCTGTTCGGTACTGACTTCACATAGGGTGAGCTTTGCAAAGAAGGCCTTCTCCCAACACACATGCTATTCAACTACGATGACATTGTAAGGCCTCTCCAGTCTCTTGGACAAGAGTAAAGTATCACTAGTAAGGAGTTGCAAGGGACAGCTGCACATCTGGTGGTCAGATGTTAGTATCTAAACTTTGTATTATCCTCTTTCAGGGCACTGGGACAGGATTAAGGACTTGGAGCCCTTCATAGCCTAGGCATGTCATCCAATCCTGGAAGAAACCATCAGAAACATTAAAAGCATAGGGGAGAGGCAATGGGCTCACCTGATTGTTCCCCTGACACACAGCTGGTGCTCACTGTGGGCAACCCGAGGCTTGTGGCAGGAGACATTCTTAATGCCTTCTTTTGCTGGGCCTCTGGGGATGGAACCCAGTGTCACAGTCACACTTGTGAAACCACCTACCATGGAACAACACTAAGAGTCCCAGAAAGTATTTGATTCACAACTCAAGCCCAAGTGGCATCTGAATGCTTGTTTGCTTTCTCCATGGTGGTATTTGTTACTCAAAGGGTTAAGTGGACCCTTTCCCCACTGTGATTTCAGGCATGGTGTAAGAATAGGAACTCCATGTGTTGTGGGTGAAATAGAGGAACCCAATGCTCATGGCTACAGAAGTTGAGCTCCAGGTCACATTTTCTTGATGGGCATGGAGGAGCCCTAGAGAGATACCCACCATTCTGATGCTTTCTGTGACTGTGTCAAGAGCGGGTCTTTATGCCTGCGAGCCAGGAGTCAGAAACTCTGTGCCCTTTTAGTGGTGGCCTGTGGGAGCACATTGATGGAAGTTTATCTTCATCCAGAGTGTAGTAGGGGCCTTATTGGACTAGAGTTTCCACAGGCAATTCTACACCTCTGATGAGAATCCCCTGAAGGCCTGGTTCAGACGAGAAAGTCCTTCTCCAGGAGAAGTCTACCCTCACAGCTGTGATGAGAGTTTCCCAGAGAATCCATACAT